AAAAAAAAAAAAAAAAAAAAAAAAAGGAAAAGAAGCACCTAACACATTCTTTCTCTAATTTTTGAAAATAATTAAAGGTATTGAGCATTCTTTCTGTTCCAATGGATTGCTGTGAAGGCCAGGGAAAACAGCTACAAAAATAGCTATTTAAAAATTTAAATCAAATTACTGTATTGCTTTTAATATGTCATGTTACATTAGTAACTTAGAAAATACAGCACCGGGGGTTGGCTCGTTAGTTCGGTAGGTTAGAGCGCAATGTTATAATACTAAGGTCAAGGGTTCGCATCCCTGTACCAGCGCCAGCCTCAACAAAACAAAACAAATAACCACAGCACCAATAATAGAGTAACATACCATTTCTCCCAATGTGATTTAAAGCTGCTTAGTGGTAGATAAGAGAGAATTTACAGGAAAGTTGCAAAGATAGTATGGAAAGTTCCTAAATACTGCTCACACGTTATATAAGTACCCGTGCCTCTCAGTGTGCAAACAATAATGATGGTCACACTGGGGGTGGGGCACTTTAATTCATTTTCGCCACAGTTTAGCAAAGTTATTATTTTATGGATGGAGAAATTGAACAATCAGGAGATAAATAACACTAAAAAAAAAAAAAAAAAAAGGGCCGGCCCGTGGCTCACTCAGGAGAGTGCGGTGCTGATAACACCAAGGCCCCGGGTTCGGATCCCATAGAGGGATGGCCGGTTAGCTCACTGGGTGAGCATGGTGCAGACAACTCCAAGTCAAGGGTTAAGATCCCCTTACCGGTCATCTTTTTAAAAAAAAAAAAAATTACCCAAAAAACCTATGGTAGGCTGGCTGGGTAGCTCACTTGGTTAGAGGTTGGCGCCAATAACACCAAAGTCGAGTTTGGATGATTGTACTGGCCAGCTGCCAAAAAAAAAAAAAAATTACCCAAAAAACCTATGGTAGGCTGGCTGGGTAGCTCACTTGGTTAGAGGTTGGCGCCAATAACACCAAAGTCGAGTTTGGATGATTGTACTGGCCAGCTGCCAAAAAAAAAAAAAAAAAGTAAAACTTAGAATCGCCTTCATAATCATGGAATCAGACGGTCTTGGTTCCAACCCCAGTTCTGACACTTACCTGCCAAGCTACCAGTTAATTGATTCTGAAGCAATTAACTTTTCTGAACCTCAGTTTTCTAATCTCTAAAATGGGTTGTTAGGTTATTATGTAGGGTAGAAATTAGTAGTTAAAATAATAATTCTAAGTCCATGCTGTTTCATGTGTGTTTATCATGGCATTGTTAATAAATTTGGTTTATTCATGTTAAACTCATTTCAACAGTGAATTTAATAGAATGTCTTTAGTAAGTACAGTGTCCTAAGCAGTGTGTTAGGAGCCAGGAAATTACTCCAGTGAAATCTGTGAACT